AACAAAACTATTTTGCCGATCTATTCAGCTACATTGATATGCTCCTCTTGCAGTGGTATTATACGACGTTGAGCACAGCATTGCAACACCGATGTGCTCAACGGTGCCTCGTTAAGGCAGTATCGCTGCAAGACGTGTGACGGTCGCTGCATGCTTGCGGGGATGTGTGCAGTGATGATGCTTGTGGTGGTAGTGGTGCGGAGTGGAGGTAGGGTACAACGACAACGGTTTTGGGGTTTTGGGTTGGTTTCTTTCTCCGATTTGCTTCGTCAGAGCTTTATGGGTGCTCGCCAGTGAGGTAGGTTGCATCAGCTATGGTTTTGAGGTTTTGGGGTTTGTTTCTTCCTCCGATCTGCTTCGTCGGAGCTTTAAGGGTGCTCGCCAGCGTTTTTTGTGATTTTAAATGGTAGTGGTGTCGGCTTTTTTGCAAGATAGTAGCAGTGCCAACCTTTTTGGGTTCTTTTCTATTTTGTTTGTTACATATTGTAAGGCAATGTTAACGGCGATGTTGGTAGTTGTAGAGGTGGAGGTCGTGGTGGTGTAGTGATAGAGGGTGGGATGGTGTGGTGTTTGGGTTTTTTTTTTTTTTGTTGGTGGTGGATGTTGTGGTGTATTGAGGTAGGTGTAGGTGTAGGTGGAGGTGGCGGTGGCGGTAGATGTGAAGGACATAATGGATTTTAGGAGATGGTGGTTGGTACAGGCAGTGGTGGTGATGGTGGTTGATACAGGCAGCCGTCATGGTGGAATTTGGTGTAGTGTTGGCTGTCATCTCATTGCGGTGGTGTTGGCAGTGTTTAGGTGGTGGTGGTCACAAATTGTTTTGTTCATTGTGACTAATAAATTGGTTGGTGTGTGATCAATAAATAATACGTGACCAATGAAATAGATAAATTGTGACCAATAAATAATGTGTGACCTAAAAATTTATGACTGCTTGATGAGTTGTAACTTATAATATTTATGATTTTTAATCGATAAATAAATTGTGAAGTATAATTTTTTGATTTGTGATCAATGAACAAATTGTAATCTATAAAATTTTTGAATTGTGATTGTAAGATAATTTGCGACTTAAAAAATTTATGATTGAAAATTTGTGATTGTTTGATAAGTTGTGATTTATAATATTTGTAATTTGTGATTGATTAATAAATTGTGTCGTATAAATTTTTAATTTGTGACTGATGAACAAATTGTAATCTATAACATTTTTGAATTGTAACCGTAAGATAATTTGTGGTACATAAAATTTCTAGTTTGTGACTAGAAAATAATATGTGACTAATTAAATCGTTAATTTGTGACCAAATTGTATAAATTTGTGACATTAATATATTTAATTAATTAATTAAATCATAAATCAATTTTAATTAGTATCTGATTTTTGAAATTTGAAACATTTGTTTTTAATTTTGAAATAAGTGATACTTAACCTCTTAATTATGAAATTTTCTCATCTTAAAACCCTGAGCGCAATTCCCATTACCCATAACCCAAACATCTCAATCCTCGAGTCTGTGTCAATCTAATCCTCTCTCCACTAAGTTCGTCCAATTCTCAGGTACAAATCACCTCCTTTAATCGCACACCTTGTGCTCTTATTAAAATTAGGGTTTCTTCTTTTTCTTCTTCTTTATTTCTGTCTAGTATGTCCATTGCCATTAATCTATCTTCTTTTTATGAACTTTTGACGTGAGGGTTTGCAGAAACTAAAATTGCAATATTGATTTGAAGATTTAGAATGGGTTATGGATTGTTCTAAAACATGGATGGCTTATTGTTTTTAAATGTTAGAATGTAAATTTTATGCTTTAGAACCTCGTCGGAACCAACGCAATGAATAATGTCATTTAATGAATTTTTATTTTTTATATGTAATTTATTAGAGACTTTTTAAAATTTCTATCCTGCCAACAAAAAATCACGGATCCGTCCCTCACCATGGTGATAGAGATCAAGAAAGGATAATTCTCTTCTTTTGAGCACAAATCCTTCATTAACGTCATATCTTTTATGTGGTTCCCGGATGAAGGCTGGAATTTTTCTAATTCGTAGGTTTGGGATATTTACCACCAGGGGTGGACCCAGAATAATAATTCAGTGGGGGCGAGACACAACACAATTACATAAACAATAAACAAAAGAGAAGGCAAAAGTAACAATAGAAATTTGCCTTGACATTTTCTTCAATAGAAATTTGAGCTACTCGTTTAAAATATCTCAACATATCTTCCTTTATATCAAACGAAGCTTTCATAAACAAAAGAGAAGGCAAAAACAACAGTTTATTTATAACAAATAACAAAAGAGAAGGCAATCCAATTTGTTGTCTAAGCTCAAAACTAGGGGAAAAAAAGTAGAAACATTAGATTATATATTTGCAAAGAGAAAATAACGTCAATCTCAAAATAAAAAACTCCAGCAATACACTCACAATTTTAACGGCAGAAAACATTTTTCAGATAAAAAGGTGAATTTTCGAAATCGTCACATTGGGGATTTGATGAGAGGTTTTACAATCCAAGAACAAAATAACTATCAAAACATAAATAATAATATTGAGAGGGATTATGAAATTATGCTTCTTCAATCTATTATTCTTCTTTCAAAATAAGTGATTGAAATCACAAAGGTTTGAGATTAAATGGAATCACAAGGATATGAATGAACTAAGGAATCGCAACATCGCAGGAACAATTGGAGGAAGGAGGAAGGGTTTGGACTAGTATGTAATGTCTAGATTTTGTTGGGTTTCGAGCTAAAAAGTATGGGCTAGTAAAAAATCCAAAAAATTCTAGAAGTCCAGTGGGGTTTGGACTGGTATGTAATGTCAAGACTTTGTTGGGTTTTGGGCTAAAAATATGGGTCAGTAAAAAATCCACAAAATTCTAAAAGTCCAGTGGGAGCAATTGCCCCCACTGGACCCTTAATAGGTCTGCCCCTGTTTACCACCATAATTTATAACGACAAGGATGCGAATGTGACTTCACATCTAAAACCTCCTAAGTTTTGTTGTATGAATTTTTATTATTATTTTGTGATTTGGAAGGTATACACGGTTGAGATAGTGGTGGTTTTGTAATGGCTCATTTTTGTGGTTGCTTTTGTGGTGGTTTGTTATAGACGACGATGGTGGTTTTTGTTGGAGGGGATGATGGTCTATAGAGCCGATGGTAATGATTTTTCGTGTTAGCACTTGGCTGTGCAATACTGTATGGTATAAGTAATGGTAGTGGCGACACACTAAGGTGGTGTTCTCTTTGTGTTTCAATTTTGTGTTTTGAGTTTTGAATTCATTTTGTATTTTGTGTTTTGATTATCTATTTTGAAGTTGCTGAAAATGCGTTCTTTTTGTCAATTTGAACAACTGTTTCGGAAAACAAAAAAATGGAAGGCGCGTTTATTTTGAAATTTTGAGAATATTTTTTTTATAATATTTTATTCAAGAAATCTGATTATTCAATCAATTTAAATAGTTTAATGTTAATAAAATATTAAATAACATATAAATTTTGAAGTTGGTGAAAAAATCATCACTATTAACAAACTAATTTTTCCCAAAAATAAGGTTCAAACAAAGTCGATCTAAAAGGCTTGAAAAAGGAGTCGTGGCCTGTCGCCTCGCTGAAGTTAAACTTGTGGTAAAAAGGCAGTATGTCTAATGTGGACCTACGTCGTGCCTTTTCTTTTTTAATATTTTTCTAATTGTTTTGGAGCCGATTCTTGGACCCAATGGCTAATTTGGATCTAGGCACTAAATTAGTGTGGAAGATAACATAGCATTTTTGATTGTTTAGTTTTTAAATTTGAAAATTGTCCAGTTATAAGTGGTTATAGTATTGATATTTTAGTTGTTTCGTATACGCTATTTTATGTATTTAATGGTAATAGGCTAATTAAAATAATAGTCAAAAATAAGAAAATGCCTTTAATATTGTAAGGCTTTTCTTATGCATTTTAGAACGCTTTTATTTAGAAGCATGTTTTAAGGTAGACGTGAAATGTTATTTGATATGGGCCCCTTGATTAATTTCAAAGCCTAAATCAACGCATTATGTTGTTAGAGTGACAAGCTTGGACGCATATTAAAGATGGGTAACTTAGGGGCGGTTATCTTGTTTTTCAGCTTTGAGTTTTGAGTTTATTTTGTGTTTTGAGTATCTGTTTTGAAATTACTGAAAATACGTTCTTTTTATTACTCTGAAAAATTGTTTCTCAAAACATAAAAATGGAAAACAAGTTTACTATGAAATTTTGAGAATATTTTTTTAATAATATTTTATTTAAGAAATCTGATTATTCAATAAACTTTAATAATCATTTGAATGCTTATTATTTCACTTTTTATAACCATTTGAATGCTTAAAGATGTGTGAGTATAGTCATTTTATCAAATTTCCCATCTCGATCAGGATTATAATTTTTAATCGTTTTTTTTTAGTTAAAAATTTCAAACACAAGCTTGTTAGCAGAATGATTGGGGTGCTATGCCTTCATCTTAACTTACAAAGTTCAAACCAAATTTGATCAGTTCCATTGCACCTTAGTTTAAAAAATAAAATTGGATAACATGACACCCTAAGTCATGAATTAATTCAAATACAAATGAACAAAACCACCGATGACTTGATAACTTGACGTGATTCGATTGGCACGACCATACCAACCCAACTTGACCCTCTACTATAATATTAGCCATCCAAGAACCGAGATAAAAACAAACAGATGATGTCATCAAATTTCAAAACCTAAAGGCCAGCGTAACAGCTCAAAATGCAGACCAGTTGATATTGCAAAATATGAAGATTGGGATAATCACGAAATTTTGGGCTCTCTTGCAATTTGGCACAGATTATACAACACACAATGCGCGACAATTATTTGTGCGCATGGCCTCGTCCACGGTATTCCTCCCTTTCATTAGTGCCTCATCAAATGCATTTTGTGTTGGATCATCGTTTCTTTGAGACAAAGCTCCACATGCAACAAAACCTCCCACTCTAATGGGAATAATGGCAGCCAACTGACCAGTCCGATTCGGAACCGGACAAACAAACCCCATCTGATGGCACGAACACTACATCATACTCCTTGTCAATCCTCATCTCCTCCTTCCTTGTAAAGTCCTTAGTTATCAAAGACAGTGTTCTTTCCCTTGTTGATCCCCTGATAAACATTAAATGAAGCTGAAATCAGTATCATAAAAGGATATTTCAGTAGCAAATAAAGAATGAAGGATCAAGTTGACGAAAGAAGTCAAACATATTTGTTCTAATTTCTAAAGAGAAATACCTTTTCCAAAATAAGTCATCTAGAAGTTGATCCATCCAGAAGTACCTTTTAAATAAATTCAGGCCAAACATAACTTAAATAACATTGCACACGACTGAGCATTGTATCCAATATAATCCAAACTAAAATCAAACATGCTAATACCATGCTACAAATACCATCATGATTAGGATAATTGTAACACATGTTTCAGAAATACGAGTCTCATAGGGTCAAGTGAAGAATAAGTACTATCCACCTAATACCATGGCCTATTACTATCTAATATATTTTTAATTCTGAATTCCTTATCCAGTGTGGCAAACGCAACCCAAATGTTTAGCAAAGAAAAGCAAGAAAAATATCATGTGCTTCTAATAGCAACAGTTTCATAACAAAACTCAAAAACCAGGCAAGCTAAAAACGGACATACCTAGGGTCGAAGTCAATGGCTAATTAGATCAAAGGACCAATAGATGCCCCTTCAAAGAGTGCAGTTGCCATAAGAAGTGAAACCCTTTTGTCTGTTCATAATTGAGACAATTACAATAAATTAAAATCCAAATGATACTGTATATTCGAAAAATAAACTAGGAAACAAGAAAAGAAATACCTCTTGGTAAGGAGGAGTAGAGAGTAGCCAAATGATGCTACCCATACATCCAATGGTTGTGAAGAATCCACCAACGTTCCAAACAAAGTGAAGATAAGATCCAACCGCTAATGAAAGTAATGCACAGCGTAACAACAGATAAAAACCAGGCAATCCAATATATAACTTCCCCTCTGAATTGTAAACCCAAATTTTCATTAATCACATGTACTGGCCATAATTTTCAAATTAACAAAGATAAGATATCACAAAAGAAACATAGATGTTCTAAAGAATGAGAAATAAGATCAAATATCTACAAATAAACCAAATTAAAGATTTAAGAAATCAATTCAATTAATAAACAGGGACACCATTATATTCCAATAACTTAAGCTGAAAGGGGGTGAAAATCAGAAGGGCAAAAATTATTCAATTCTAGACATCAAACTATCGATTATTTCCCAAAAATCCAAAAGAATAGGTTTGAGAAACTGATGAAAGAAACCTGCTGAGATGGGTCTGAACAGTAGGAGAAATCTGACGAAAATTCTTGAGAGAGTCGTAACTCCATCTGTTCCGAGAGCCAGATTGCGATTCAAAGAACGAAGTGAACGATTACATTATTTTTTTGTTAGTAATCTCACACAAATTGAAATTTCAGGGTGGGATTCTGACATAGGCGTTGAAGATTCAATCTATAAATGTAGTTGACATTCAGCGCTTCGGCTATTTCCCGGAACTAAAAATGGAAAAAACCAAAAACCCCCAAACTTGCAGATCGAAAAGAGAAACAACTTCACCTTCTCCCTGCCACGAACGACGCCAATAGGTCGGCGACATCAAAGAAAGAGTAGGCAGAGACGGGCCAAACCACAGCAAGAAGAAGATGGATCGGAAGAAGTGTGAAGAAATTGGAAATTCTAGTGGTGGAGGTGTTCCTGTATTGAAAATTGCCATTTTCCGTGTTTTGCATTTTTTTCTCTATTCTTGCTTGAAAACGGCTAAAACGATGTTTTTATCGTTTTGTGTTTTGTGTACAAAATTTTTATCGTTTTCAAAAATAGGAAAGAGAACGCGTTTTTATTGTTTTGGAAAATCGAAAACAGAAACGACCCAAAACGGCTAAAGAGAACGGCCCCTCAATGTTTTTAGCAGAAACCGATAATGTAGGTATCTCGAAAGAAAAAAAAATGAGCAGTTTTCAGTTGAATTTAGGGCTTGTTTGAGCCCCATTTTTTATTTTTATTTTTTCAAAAAATGCATTTTGTAATAATGTTATGATGTAGATTGTGTGATTAAAAAATAAGGAAAAATTTTGGATTTGCGTGTAATACCATTTTATTGAAGAATGTGGGGTTGAAATGTGATCAAATCACTGTTAATGAATGCATTTTGATGGAAAAATGGAGCTCAAAAAAAGGGCTTAATATCTTTCAATGAATTGACCACACAAATTCAAATATCCAGATAGAAAATACAAGGATGTATCTACTTCTTGAGTTGTATAATTTTGAAACAATTGATTAATGACATTAAAAAATGGGATTAGAAAAGTAACAAAGAAGTTTTGTATTTAGAAGCATAAAATAAGAGTTATTAATTGGCGTAGAACAGATGGCCGAATGGATTGAAGAAGAATTGGACCGAAGAGGAAAAATGTAATAGTATATGTGTGGTTGTCATGGCATACGATGGTTTTTTGTCATCCGAGTTCGTTTAGGACTCGAAAACTACATTTAAAGTTGTAGTACTATTTTTGTCATTTAGTTTATTTTGAATTCTTTTCAATTTTAGTTTGTTTAAAGTGGTAATTACATAAAATCAGACATTAAGTTTGACCTTTTTAAAAATCAGGTTTTGGCTTTATTTAATCAAAAATCATGTTTTAATTATCCTTCTCTCTATATTCTCTCCCTTATCTCACAAATAATTGGTTATTCATTGCCCGTCGGAGATCGCCGCCGACGAACACTCTCAGGCACGGACGATGGCTGGGTGCGACACTGTACAGATCGGCGGCGACGGTGTTCTCCGTGCCTGATTTCGAACCGTCACCCAAGCCGAGCTGGAGCATCATCGAAGCCGGAGCTCCTGCTAAGCTAGCCGCATCATTTCCCACCAAGTTATTATCGGCTACTTCGTACATCGAAAGCACTAGGATTTGCTCGAGAAAATCGTCGAAAGGGTCCGCCCCTGGGTTGTTGGCCATCGTCGACAATTTGATTGAGTCAACTGGGTCTAGGTTGTAGATAGGTGAGTCAGTTAACGAGTTTAAACTCCAAAATTCTATCTTGTGGTTGAGTGCTGGAAGTGGTGGGTGGGTGTGTGCTATGGGTGTGTGTGCGCGCAATGGAGTTGTGGTGGTAGTGTTGATGCTGGTTGTGGTGGTGGTGCCAGCTTTTTGATTTTTTTTTTGTTTATGTTTGTAAGTTTCAGATTGGAGACGGTGTTGGTGTTGTGGTGGTAAGGTGGCGGTTGGGTGCTGGTGGTTGTGAAGTTGGTTGCGGGTGGTGGTGGTGGTTGGTGGTGTTTTGTACGGCGATGATTCTGTGGTGGTGGATCTGGCGGGATCTAGTGGTTTTTGGTGGTGGTTTTGGAAATGACAGTGTTATTACTAGCTAGTTGTCGTGGTGTTTGGGTAGTGGTGATGTTGGTCGTGGCGGTTGTCGCGGAGGCAGTGGTAGTGGTCGTGGCGACATGCAGAGGTGGTGGTGGCGGATCTGATGATTTTGGTTTTGTGACAAAAAAATATAATATGTGACCTTAAAATTAGGTAATATGTGACTAAAAATATTATCTGTGACTAACCATTTTGTTATCTGTGACCTAAAAATTATATAATCTGTGACCGTAAAAAATCTGTGACCATGTGACCTATAAATTTTGATCTGTGATCGACTAATTTTGAAATCTGTGACCAACGAATTAAATGTGACCTATAAAATTTTTGAACTGTGACCATAAAATAATCTGTGACGCATAAAAATTATTATTTGTGACTGAATAATAATATGTGACTAATTAAATTATAAATCTATGGCCGGAATGATTGCCGGAATAGTCATCGGAATGGTCGTCAGAATCGGAGCAATCGCCGAAATGGTCGCTGGAGAAGAGTGGTCGCCGGAATGGTTGCCAAAAAAGAGTGGTGGTTGGAATAGTCCCCGAAACTATAGGGGTGGTGCATGTGGGGTGAGTTTATTATATTATATTATATTAGAATTTAAAAAAAACTGATTTTTGAATTTTCAAACTATAAACATGATTTTTGAATTGATATAAACTAAATACCTTATTTATGAATTTTTCCCCGTTATATTTGTCTCTCTTAATCAAGCCCCAACTCTTCACTGCTCGAGAAAGCCCACATCTTCTGCCATCAAATTCAACCTTGGCCCAAAACGTGTCTCTTCGCAATCATACAATAAACTGCCCATAGCCCATAAATATTGATTTTCACTTTCAGTATTTCTATCTGTCGAGCGGACGCTAAATAAGATCAAAACGACGTCGGATCTACATCTTCTAGCTACCCTATAAGCATCCTCCGGTCGCCGGATTTTAGGGTACTGTCATTTTTTACGAATGTGTTAAGATTTTGTACCAATGTTACACTGAATCATTTGAATTTAAAGCGTTCTCTGGCAATATTTTGCAATTCTGATTGTTGTTTTAAAATTCGAAATTCTAGTTATGGAATATGTGTATTGATTTCTGAGATCTCTGTCGCAGAGAAACTATATAATAAGTCATTCATCAGGGAGATCGGATTGGAAATGGGGTTTTTGGTGACAACCCTAATTTTCGTTGTGGTCGGGATTATTGCATCCCTGTGCATTAGAATATGCTGCAACAGGGGACCCTCTGCAAATCTGTATGTATACATTTGTTTTCAAGTTTGTGCTTTCTGTCATAGTTGGTCAAATACTGGACTGAAAAAGTTGGGCACTTGATAAGCTTGAATTTGAAGTATTATATGAATATATAAATTATAGGGGAAGATTTAGAGGGCCTTATCTTGACATCTGAAATTTTATCTATGAGAAAATTGTGTCTTACTGGTATTATTGTTAGCTACTTGTTTAATTTTTTCATAAAGCAAAATTTAACAATTGGTTGAGATCAAATGATTTGATAGAACATCAAAGGTCCATTTAGTTACAGGTCTAGTTCGATATTGATGAATAATAATTTTATAGATGTAATTGATGTCAGGGTAAAGTTGTTTGCAGAATAAACTCAGTGTCATTTTTGTAGCATACTATCAATACATTGCAATTGTCCTCGTGACTATTTGGTACCATTAGCTTTGCTGATGGGGTTTGCTTGTGTTGAGCTGTAGAACTTATTTTTGGCATGCTGCTGTTTCTATATTGTGATGCAGGTTACACCTGACATTGGTAATTACTGCAACTGTATGTTGTTGGATGATGTAAGTCATGCTCCCTATCTATCAGCAAATAGATATATAGCCCATGTTTGGTTCAGCTAAAAAACAAGTTAATAAGTCAAAGTCAACAATTAAATTTTAACTAAACATTTCATGGGACGCAACTTTTCGATTATACATTCCATCAACTTCTATCAAAATCTACTAAAAATCTAATTTTTATCTAAACCAAACAAGGGCAGATTGTATTCTTAACATCTTATTATTCCTCTCCTGATTTTGGTTGTGTTCATGCTTTTGACACACTGCAGTCATAATACTGTTATTTTTTATTGGCCACATATCAGTGTATCCTTCATGCAATGAATCATGTCAAATGTTTTACTTGCTTTGTAAATAACCATTATGCTTCATAGGTTTTTCTGTAATTTACAACTGGATTATCTAATAGTATCCTAGAGCAACTAGGGCTGCCGTGGCTGGTAAAATTTGTTCAATGTCGTAGCTTTTTTCTTCGAGAGTTCAACATCAGCTTGAGTTCATCCTTTAAATTTGGCTCTCTTCTTATCCTCAACTTGCTGCTGATCTATCATGCAGCTTGATGTATTTGAAAGCACATAATGCTCCTTCCTGATATTGGACGAATAATTCTCATAGAATAGTTTATAATTTCAATTTTTGAATTTTAACAGTGAGAAAAGCTTGTAATATTTTCTTTGGGTTCTGGGGTAGCAATATGGGTTTTTTTATGGGATTTGTTTATTTGGGCTTGTTGCTTTTATTCTATTTCTGAATTCTGATTCAGGAAATGTTCTGATTATTTGGCCTTGTATTTTTTGTAACCTTTGTTCGTCTAAATCTTCAGGTCACTGTGTTTTTCTTTATTCCTATGCAGGTGGGCAATAGTGTATCTAGCACAGATGAAACCACTAATTGTTCCTATTTTGAACGAAACGGAATGATGTGTTACACGAAATGCATATGCAACCGTTTGGAAACCTATTTATTTATTGTGGAGCAAATTGGGCGTGTGAAGAATAAATATTTAGGGTAAGACATACCCAGAATCCTGTTGGTGTCGGAGTTGTATGTAATTTTTATAAATGCAGACGACGTTTTTGTGTTCATTTTTACATATTGTGCTCTTATTGACTTATGTTGTAAACCTGTTCTAATCTCCTATTCGTTTTTGTAAGGATGATAGTGTATATTGTGTATGAAGAAAAGAAGGAAATGTATTTGGTAACATATCTGCTTGTATATCTTGCACGAGAGATTCAGCAGGGTTGTTTTTAAGAAACAAAGTGAAGGAGTGCTCATCCTCACCTGATTATGGCAAACTTCATCAAAGTAATGTTTTCCGAAAGATACAGATCAAATAGTAGCTATAAGATGATCAAAAAGAAAATTATGCGGTAACGTACAGATAATTTCTTCACGTCAATGTACATTAGGCGGAGTTGGGGATGATGACGTTCCACTAAAATAGACTATATTAAAGAAACAACCCTAGACATCCATAAGGACTCGAGAGATTGATGATCGGTACATTTGTTCTCCGTGCGACCATTGTCTAAAGATCAAAAGAAGAAAGATGCTGCAGCCTGCAGGTGAAGGTATAAAGGACAACACACTAACCAAAATATTCATGTAGCAAAGGCAGTGAATGTCCACCATCCACATCATCCTTTCACACTTGATCAAGGGCTGCCGAAGTTTTTGGCCCTTGACCACCGACCATCTCCTTCCTGCCTCTGCTTCCAGGCACATTCTCATTCAGTGATGATTGTAAATTAGAGTCTGCAGTCCACATAATTGTTGGGTATCCACTGCTTGATCCTGGCGTGTCGACTGGCAATGAGTTTCCCAGTGTTGCACTTATAGGACTCTCTGACGCTAGTTTCTTGAGCGGTGGCTGGTGCATAGTATTATCCATGCTGGCTTTACGTTTATCTTTGCCATGTTGAATACACAAAAAACGTGAGTGTCTCATCTATAGCAGATGTACAGAGTTAAATGGCTATATTCCTATGGAAAAGTATAGGCTTATGCTCTCCGACGCTAAAAGAAAGGGTGGTAGGAGCTAGTAGACAACATGAGCGGCATCAATGAGCACGAGGAGCCATAGCCACATGCAGTCTTTGAAACGCAGAAATTTCATTTCCGTACACATGTTACAAATTCCAAATACGTTAACGTACTAGCAAGAATTCCATCAATCCCCTCCCAAGTATTAGCAGAAACATTACTTGGC